TCCTTTTTTTCGAGATGTGGATGATGTTGTGAAGAGTTTTGTATCACAAAATGGATTAGAGGAACATGGAGATGAGATTGTTAAGGTGAGTTACTACATATATAAGGTCATGCGTGTCTAGCTACATGTATAATTATGATAGATGGCTCATTCCTTGCTTACAAGGACAACTACTCTGAAGGAAACTTTTAGTAAAGTATTGAAAAAGCGGTTACTGTCAAAGTATGAAATTCTAGGAGATTCTGAGGACATTGTGTATAGTGATCTCACTCGAAAATTGTGCAACACTAGAATTGAGGAATTTGTGTCATCTTCTCGACAAAAAATGGCAGCAGATAAAGGAAGTGCATCATTAGCAGGCCAAAATTTAAGGGATGGACTACTGAGAGATCATACAAACCTGCAAAGCCGTATTACATATTCTTAACACCAGAATTCTTACCTATGAAATTATAACTATAATTAATTTTATTATACACCATGACCATAGCATTGCATTCATTTATACACTTAATTATAGTTGTACAATTACACATACATTAATACTTTTATTCATTTATTCTTTTGTCCATAAATCTTCTTCTTTAGAGGAAGCACTGCTGTTGACATTTCGTTGTCACGATAGCCTACTCCACTATGATGGCTGCAAACTGTTTTTTGGATCAAATTTGATGCACGGCAAATAGCATTGTTAGCTGAGTCAAGCTTTCCACCAGCATAATACTTGTACTGGCTAAATAAAGATTCAATAGAAGATCCAAAAAGGCATAATGGTGAAATGAAGTATCCTGGGTATTTGTTGAAAAAGTCCTCACAAAATCCCTTGAATCCATACATGTCAATTCTCAGTAAATCAAAAGCTAATGTAAAGAAATGTATGTAGTAATGTTTCAGTACAGTATCTACGTGTATAATCATGTAATAATAATTACAATGATGCATAATGCTTACTTTGCCATGCTAAAAAACTTTTTTGTGTAGAACTGGCATGGTCAAAGTTAGGATCTGTGAATAATAAAAAGACAGGATATTCTATAAAAATGATTATAAATACCATTTTTTTGTAATTTCATTGAGCCAATTTGTAAAAAACAAGTATCCTTCTTCAACTGAACATATGACATCTGATTTCATGTGAGTGACTCTTGAATGAGATAACAAACCATTTTCAAAAAAATTTTGACAGGCTTCCAAGAATTTCAGAGTAATACTGACACTGCACACATCATCGGCATTTGGGTTTTCTTGAATATAATTGGACAACTCCATTAGTACTTGATCTTGCTATTAATAACAAGAATATAAGGTAAGTCAATTGATAAGGTAAGTTAAATCTACTTGTAACCTGCATTATTTTTGCCGGAGCAACATTTAACTTTGTCCAAGCATCTCGAATGACATAAGCCTCTTTCATTTTAGGTACCATTCTTGTTAGTCCCTTACTCACTCTCTCACAATCTCGCTTATAAAGTGAAACAATAGTTTCCCATCCAAATTTCACACCTTTCAATGTAAAATCTTTTGTTCCATTTTGTTGTGAAGAGAAAAGTGCGTTTATCATATTCTTGAGCTATTATGTTTAAGAATAATTATACAGTACACATGCATGCATGCACATTCTATCTCACTTGATGACTAGGACATATTATCCAATGAATGTGGTTTGGTGGATCAAAAGGATTTAGCATTTTGGGACTGACTTTAAAAGGTTCATGATCATCACCTAAACATAAATTTTTAAATTTCATTTTTCATAAAACTGTATGTGTAATACCACATGTAATGGGATAAACTCCAAAATGACCATGAGTTGCCTTAAGAGTTGTTAAATTTACAGATGCGCCATCACAAACCAGCAGAAGAGTCTTAAGCCCATGCAAGTAAAACAGTTTAACTGTTTCCATGACACATGAATAAATAAATTTGCTTTCAAGTGTCTTCAAGCTTGTAAAATAAGGACCAATGATGTCAAAATCTCCTATACATGTAAAAACATAATTTAAAAAAATATTCCTATAACAAATCCAGAAAAGTACTACTAAATGTTCAGAAAAATTAGTAAAATACCTGTCAGATCTCTCCATAAAAACTGTAGTATGTATGATGTTTGCTGAACTTTACTTTCATTAGAAAGTAGCTGGTATATATCAGAAAGAGATGACTGTTCAGCATGTGTCATGCACAATCCAATGATGGTCTGACTTCTGGAATTCCAGATCAGCCTACTGATCACCTTCGCCTCATCAAAGATTAGTACACCTGCTTTCTTTGATTCCTGTCTCCCTTCTTTTCTTCTCTCTTGGCAATGGACTATAAACTGAGCTACCTGATCAGCAATACTTTCATGATTAGCTCCAGGTTGGTGTAGGAAGGCCCCTTTGTATGCTTGAAGTGTGGATCGAGAGGGAAGTTGAAGTATATTAAAAGACTTCAAGCAGTGGCGGTTCTAGGATTGAATTTCTGGGGGGGCCTTAATGATATGGGTGGGATAATTAGTGGGTGCGGTCAACCAGGCTTGCAGGATTTCATTTGGAAAGTCAAAATTTAGAAGATTAAGCCTCTTAAATGAGCTCCTTTGTGGTTTACAGACTGTTTACACAGTCAAGCACTGCAGCTGTTTCATAGTTTACATAGATAAAACTAATTTTATACTTCACCACAAAAATTTTGGG